CCCCCCCCCCCCCCCCATACAACTAACTCCTGAATTTAATAATATTCCTACATTTGCTACTAAGACGTAAATAAATTGATGTAACCAAAGTGACCGAGAGTTATATGTGCCGGGTTGAAAGTTATATGTGCCGGGTTGAATGCAGAGAGTTTGAATAAATTTTTAAAGTTTGAGAGAGTTTGTGACGGTTTGAATTTTTTTTGAAAGTTCAAATTTTAAAATGATTGAAATCCCGACATGACTAGTAAAAACCCGGTTGCAAATAGCAATCCCCGAAACAATGTAAAGAAATGAGACGGTACCAAAAACTTGAAATGATATTTAGTATTCTAATTGTTCAATTTGTTTGTTGCAAAAGATTTAATTTAGTCATTAAGGACTTCTACATATCAAATTTTAATCATAGGTAAACAATTTTGCCTGTCCATGCTTGCATTTAATTACAAAAAAAAATGATTTTTAGTAAATAGGTATTTTTTATTTTTTTTTAATAAATGAGAGTGCACCTATATGTGTTATATATATATATATTTAATGGTGGGAACTAATTCATCACTTCAATTTGGCCTTTCGGATTTATATCCATTTATACTGTGTCTACATCCATCCCTACACGCAGAGGCGCAAAAAAAATAAAAAAAAGAAACAAAAAGAAAAAAAAAAGGAATACATACCGCTTTTCTGCTAAGGGTTTGCAGTCTGTATGTAACTTCATTATCTCCGATCTCAGTTTAATTTGAATTCTAGGGTTTTTTTTCTTACGCTGCAAATTGCAACTAGCGCGCATCTGGAATCACCGCTTATGCGTCGCCGATTTTGGGAATCTTCAACAAAAAAAAGATCCGCGAGTGGAGAAAAATCGGGCGTGTTTGATGGTTGAAGATCCGAGTCTTGTGAGTAGCACCGCAAATTTGAGAAATTTCTGAGTGGTAGAGAGATGGATTTGGATTTCAATGGCGATGTCACGTGCCTCGATGCTGAACTTTTGCAGCTTCCGGAGGTTTCCCCTTTGGCTATCAAAGCCAACCCTTACGTTGCCGAAAAGCTCTTTGATCAGTGGCTTTCGCTCCCTGAAACCAATTCTTTGGTAATCTTTTTACTCCCCTCCATTTCTTGCTTTTGAGGTTATTTATTGATTCTTGGTGGTTAGTTTGATGTTGTAGTTAATTTAGGGAATAGAAGTAAGTAATTCGCGTAAAATAAGAGTTTTGTTGTACATGCAATGCTATTTTGGACAGCTTTGTTCACTCAAGGGGGATTGGATATAATTAGGAATTAAATTTTCGGGCTTTTAGGTTGTTCCTGGTTCTTGTTCGATAGCAATTGGAGATTTCCATTTGACTCAGAAAGGGGGTAATAAACTTAGAATCTGAAAAGCAAATACATGAAAATGGGTAGGGGATTTTTTTGTTTCGAAATGTGAGATCGTGTGTGTAATTCAGCAGTTGCATCACTCTATGGTACTTTCTTGAATTTAAAGAAGCTTGCTAATAAGTTGGTCAAGGCGTCTACACTCCTATGCATATTTTATGGTTAAACAATTGCACGTGAATTATGTTGCATCTTAGTTTGTTTAATTTTCGCTATTGTATTGAATTTTGTTCCAGTAGAGCTTCTCAGTTTGATTTATAAGGCATTTCTGTATCACTTGCATCTTGGGATGATAACAATTGCTGCTGTTCATTGGCACATTTGCTCCTTTATAATTAGTAATAATGAAATCAATAACTAATTAACAGCAAAAGATATTAGAACTTAGGTGTTTAGAGAATTAAATCAACAAATAAAAGATAACAAAATGTCAGAACTTTAGAGGGCTTCAATCGACTAACATTAGATATTCTGAATACTTGCAAGATGTTGGGAAGGTCCAAGGAGTTTTTCGACATATTTTATTGTTTGCTTCTTTCTGATTGATGCCTTTTAGTAATTTATGAAGTTCTTGTATTCAGAGGTTCTACATGCAAGCGAATATGGATAATATACACTCACGAATATATTTGTGCAACACCTCAAACTATTCATTCACCATCCACTGTTTATATTATGAGCAAGGAATTATTGATGTTTATTTTGACCTAAGAAAATGAATATGTGGATTCAGTATGTAAACATGTTGCTGGTTCTAGTAAAGTACTGTCTAAGTAAAGTAATGTCTAAAAATGAATTTATTTATTCCCTCCATATGCTAAGAAAATTGGGGTTTGTTCTTTCTTATTATAACTGAATTTTAAAACAGATATACTCACAAAGTCAACATATGAATTGCAGGTAAAATCCTTGCTCAATAATGCTAAGGGAGGTAGTCCATTGCATGTTTCTGGAACGTCCTCTAGTACAAATAGTGCACCTAGCAATTCATTGCCTTCAATGTTTGCTGCTGGTAGTACGCCACCACTTTCACCTAGGAGCTCATCGGGTTCTCCTAGGATCATGAAACATAGGGCAGGCCCTTCTGCTTTAGGATCGCCCCTGAAATTAATCAATGAGCCTGTGAAGGAGCTTATACCTCAGGTTTATTTAGTTAACGTGTTGATATTTTTGGTGGAAACCGAGTTTTTCTCTTGTAGTCTGCTATTTGTGTTTTTCTTGGCAATAAATATTTATATATTCTTGTGACTGCTGTAGTTCTATTTCCAAAAGGGCCGACCACCACCGAGTGAATTGAGAGACAGGTGCGTGTCTAGAGTCAACCAATTTTTTTATGGTCACATGGATGGACTCCAAATGAACGGTAAGATTGGCTAGATGTATATACGTTACAGATTTTTACAATATTCAGTACTCTATTCCCCTCTTAAGTATATGGAACTTGCAAAGTGAAATAGCAGATCAACTACTAAGAAGTGGCTGTTTTTATACTGAAAATTCATGGATTTTCAGAATTTAAACCAGTAACAAAGGAAATATGCAAGCTACCATCATTCTTCTCCACCGTGCTGTTCAAAAAGATTGACACCGAGGGCACTGGAATTGTTACCAGGTAATGGTTGTGATTTTTCCTCTCTTCTTGCTTTGCCTTGATGTTGGAATATGCTATTTTATTTTCTTAAGTTTGTTTCCTTCCTTCCATACGCACATATATGAGAAGAGATCAGCTAACCAAATAAGAATATAAACGCACCAGGCGTTAATCATATCAAATGTGCCTCTTCTCTAACATTCATATTAGTAGTAGAAATCAAGTGAATGCAATTATCACGTGTTAAATATAATGGTCAAGAAGAAAGCGACTCCCTTTTATGCAATGACAAATTATTTTCTTATGTTAGTTATTTACTATACCTATTCCAGTAGATTTTTGTTGAGCATGAACTATACTGTAACATTATGTCATTCATGTGGTTCAATGAAAATTGGAGCGATAATCTTATTTTTAATTTTACCAGTCGAAAGCTAACATTGCTTCTATCTCTGGGCATCTTGTATGCTCGAACTATGAACTTCAATTAAGTTGGGGTGCGATTCTCTGGTGTGTTGATTGTTATGACTTGGTTGCTTGGATGAGATCAATGTTATCGGTAGGACAAATAAATGAACTTTTTTTTTTTGGGTCTCACACAGAGGCATCTAAGATCATGATAGTCTCCTATTAATGGTTTTAATCCTTAAACCTTCTATTCTTGCTCTACCATACTGATGGCAAAAACCATTCATGGCAAATGATAAATAAAAAGGAGTTTGTGTTCGATGGCCATCTTTCGCTATAAGAACTTTAGTCTTGCCTACATTTGTGCCTCGGTTGATTTGTCCCGGGTTGCTAACTCTGTATCAATGTTAATTATTAATTAGTTTAATTCTGTATATCTGGCTTAGGAGTTTGATCAAGGAAATAAGTTAAACTTGCTGTATGTTGACTTTTATTTCACATGTTCTTCAGCAGTTGGACTTGATTTTGTTATGTTACTGCCTCTTTTTGATCATTTTATGTGGCGTTTTCGAAGAGCTGTAAGTAATTTGGCACTACAGGAAGGGGTACAAACTGCTTTCTAGCAATTAGAAGCACAAAATTACAAAGTCATCGCTGATTGCTCCTAATCCTATGAAGGGGACAAAATTCTCAAGCTCAAAGTAGAGATAGTATCCAAAAATCATTTAAAAATGCATTTAAACTTATTTTCTATGCTATTAGTGACGTTGCTGAAATTTGTGCGAGAAGAGAAATGACATGTTAGAAGACAAATGACAGTACTATGGAGTAGTAGGCAGTTAGTTTAATTTTGTAAGAATAAAATGCTGAATTTTTCTGACAATAAAGCTAGCCTAGATGAAATTTAGCTAAGGAGATCGATATTAATAGACAACATTTCCTGTTTTTGAAGCTTAACTCCAGCAATTTTGCATTGCATTTCCATTGTAGTTTAATGTGATGATTTTTTCTGACCGGTCTTGTTTAGAGTTGATGTATGTGCACTCATTTGTAACTTATGATATGCCAACAGGGACGCATTTGTAGATTATTGGATCAATGGAAACATGTTGACGAAAGATATAGCAACTCAACTATACACAATCTTGAAGCAACCAGATCTCAAATACTTGGCCCAGGTTAAAATGACAACTGCTAATACTAATCTTTAACACTTATTTTAGTTAAAGTTGAGTTTAGAGATTGTCATAAATTCTGATTTATATTTTGGCAACTTCGTGAACTTGACATAGGATGACTTCAAACCTGTCCTTCGAGAACTTCTGGCATCTCATCCAGGGTTAGAGTTCTTACAGAGTACACCCGAATTTCAAGAAAGATATGGTACGACCGACATCATAGATTTTATTCTGTTTATGTATTCATTCTATTGCCCAAATCATTTCATTGAAATGTTCAATTTGTTGTATGTCCAGCTGAAACTGTAATATACAGAATATTTTACTACGTGAATAGATCGGGAAATGGACGTCTTACACTCAGAGAGCTGAAATGTTCGAACTTAATTGCTGCAATGCAGCATGCAGATGAAGAAGAGGATATTAACAAAGTTTTGAGGTAATTGCATAATATTCTGGTTTCAAAAACATAAGAGCTTTGCCATTTATTATTTTGTTCATGCTAGTGATATGTACCCTAATTTCATCAAGTTCCTAAACTTGTTATAAACTAGCCAGACTGTTGGATGAGTTCTTCGGTAAAAAACTGTCGGAAGTGTGTTTTAGAAGAGATAATTTTTTTTTATTAATGAACAGTCTCAAGTTGCACGCTGAATTCAGTTCTGTTCTTTGTTTCCCCTCTTGAGACCAGATATGTATCTGTGTAAGATTGTATGGTTTTTGCAACTTCAAATATCCAGTCAACTATTCTGAAAGAATTTGAATAATGTTCATTTAGAAGTGTTTATGTTTCCACATTCTGCATCTTGCATTTTACTTGTACATTCTCTTTTTCCTTCCTGATTTTTGCATTTTGCTTCAGGTACTTCTCTTATGAACATTTTTACGTAATATATTGCAAGTTCTGGGAGCTGGATACGGACCATGATTTTTTGATCGACAAAGAGAACCTCATCAGATATGGTAACCACGCACTTACATACAGGATTGTTGATAGAATATTTTCTCAGGTTTGTGTTTTCTCTATTCGTCTTGCTATTCAAGAAGCATTGCCTGCTATGTTGAAGAAATGTTCATTTATCTCTTAGGATGGTTTGACCATTTTTTGAGCAGTGCATATTTGAAATTTTCTTAGGTTCCCAGAAAGTTCACCAGTAAGGTTGAAGGAAAGATGGGATATGAAGATTTTGTTAACTTCATACTGTCAGAGGAGGATAAATCGTCCGAGCCTAGTCTCGAGTATTGGTATGTGTACTTTTACTTGTCTAGTATAAACCATGTCAGAAGTCTGTCTTCACTTTTTATTTTGGAGGTTTTTTCTGGACCAACTGTACCCTAGGTATATTTTTGTCATTTGCTGTAGGTGTGTGTATGTACTAGTACCCCAAAATTTATTGTATTTCTAGAAATACGAGGTTGAATGCCACTCATTGGTGCTGTTGGGAAATCAGCACTTCCACACTGTAGGGAAGTGGATAAATAATCAGGAAATGAAGCCTGATTGCTTTCAGAATCCTTTAAACCTATCGTTTGCTAGGTTGGTTAGTATACAAATTTAGCTAACACTTGGCCCCTCAACAAGTGATTCAGAGAAGAGCTTTGATTCTTTCTGATTAGTGGATAGATAAACTTAGAATGATATTGTTTTCATTCAGGGAGAATTTTACTACCCTATTCGACCTCCAAACAGGCGCTGAATAAGTAAAGTAAATGACTTCTGAAGCCTTATGTGCAATTGTGATTTTGGACATTTTCCTCGAAAGTTAGGTCTCATAGGGTGTTTTTTAAGTTATTAGTGACTGTTGTAATGAAACAAGATGAAAAAATGTGTATTTTTTAGCATGCACTTTAGTTTGTCTTCTTCTCATTTTTAATGTGAATTATTTGTTGAATCAATAGTCACCTTTTTCTTTTGCATCATTCTTCCTTAGTTTACTATAAGCATGTTAAATATTATAATTTCTTTGCTTTAGGTTCAAGTGCATCGATTTAGATGGAAATGGAATTGTTACGAGAAACGAAATGCAATTTTTTTACGAGGAGCAGTTGCACAGAATGGAATGTATGGCACAAGAACCTGTACTTTTTGAGGATATTTTGTGTCAAATAGTTGACATGATTCATCCAGAGGTAAAGTTCCACCTGATATCATATACGATCATTTTTGTTTCTTGTTATATCTCTCGATTTGTGTGTCTAAAGTAGTTTTAAGGGGCAGTCTTGCCTTTGCTTTATCTTTTTTTTTTCTGGAACATGTCCCTTTAATGCTTATTGTCCCGCTTCTGCTTTTCTTTTGCTATTGAAAATTGGCGAAAAAGAAATCATAAATGTGCCATTATGCACATTTATCATTGATTTGTAGGCTGGTTGTTTGTCTGGTTTTCTGAGCTATCGGTGGTATCTAATGTATTTTAAATTGAACAAGAAAAAAAATTACATAGACTCTGATAGGATTTTAATCTGCTGGAAGTCGAGTGTTCTGAAAGCATTAATTTTAAGAAGTCTAGAGATGGTTCAGATGAATGAAGTATGCTAGTTTCTATTATAATATTATGGTTAAATACTATTGCTCGCCTTATCCTTGGACTGGCCATGCATATAGGTTTCGATGTATTATAACATCTCACGATGTTCATATTATTTCATGTGCAGGATCAAAGCTATTTTACGCTGCGCGATTTAAAAGGAAGCAAACTTTCTGGCAGTGTTTTCAATATCCTGTTTAACCTCAACAAGTTCATGGCTTTCGAGACTCGTGATCCTTTTCTAATACGTCAGGTAAAGTTGATGAAATCCTGTTTTTATTTAAATGGATACTAAAATTTGATGCTGCCAGAGTTGCAAAGTTGATTATATTTTTTGCACTTGTACAGGAGCGCGAGAACCCAAGTTTGACCGAATGGGATCGGTTTGCACACAGAGAGTACATAAGACTTTCAATGGAGGAAGATGCAGAAGATGCCTCTAACGGGAGCGCTGATGTTTGGGATGAATCACTCGAGGCTCCTTTCTGACGACTCCTCTTTCGTAAGATTTCTTTCGATTTAAGATTGGACTTCCTTTTCGCCCCGGTTTTTTTTTTTTCGTTTGAGTTTGTTGGAATTATAATATCCCGGATAAACGTCAGTGGATAACCGATAACATATTAGAGAATAGTACACCGATTTTGAATGTTTATTTTTCAATATTCAGGTGTCTATGCTGGCTACAAAGTACCAAAGCAGCCCGTCGGCTCTCAGTCAATAGTGATGACATGTTTGAAGGCACTATTGGGAAATATATATTGAGCTTATCTGCACGTACGTAGCAAAGCTTGCCAGGCTAGAGAAATGTTATATTTCACGCCGTTGGATATTCAGAAATAATTGGCGAACCCGCGCCAATTGTTTACTGGATAGTAAACGGTAACAGATTATGTTAGTTCACTACTTTCTTAGCTTATTTTCTTTTATGTAGCAAGATTTCCTTTCCTTTTTTTTTTTTAATTAATTATTTAATTTTGAAGGCAATACCTCCCTAGTACATTTCCGGTATGCGTTTTTCCTTCGTTCATGAGTTCCTTCGTCTGGAGAGTAATTGGTTTCGTTTTTTTATAATTAGCAACAGTTGTCTAAGCTTTGTGTAAAACGGCACTTCTATGTAAAGATATAACGACTCCGGCATATTTTCTTATAAAGAGGTGCTAAATACCATTTCAAAACTACTTGATACCGTTCCTACTTTAACAAAAAAGTTATATTTTCCGTTTCTCTATAGATAAAAACTTATTTATGTTTATGTAACATATTTAACAATATACCCTTATACTTTTAATATTTACACGTTTTCTCAAAGTTTCCATATCCCCATTTTTGGGATATGTTATTTCCTATGTCCATTTTCCCGTATCGTTGTTTCTATGTCCGCGCTACATAGATAATACTCGGTCTCCCGACAATGAACAAAGCCGAACCGCGGAAAACTAAATTTCTACAGCAAATAATAACTGAATTAATCAATAAATGTTGTATATCACACTATACACCCCCCAAAAAAAAAAAAAACTCGATTTACAAAACCTTCACAGATAATCATCGTCTGAAATCATTAGATATATCCGTAATTTCCTTGTAAATAACTCTCGATGAACTTATAAGAAGCATCTTCTATTTACCAAAATCGATCCTTGTTCACACTTAAGTAACCGGACATGACTTTGCCACCGGTATTTCTCATGCCATCTATAAGAAAGCACCATGTTGAACCTAATGCTCCGATGAAGAAGTCGGCTTCTGCCGCCATCAAGAAATTCACGATAGGATAGTTTGTGCTCGTTTCTCTTCCGAGACTCGATTCGTAATTTGCCATTGTCATGTTTCCCCTTTGCCGTGTCACGTTCGTGTAATAAAATTTCCAATGCAAGTACGATTTCGATCTGTCAATGACATCCTAAAACACACACACACACACACAAAAAAAAAAAAAACTTCAATTGCAAAATTAAATTCACTAGTAATAAAAACTTTAATTGCGAAATCGAAAATATTCGGAACCGAATCGGCAGAATTCGGAAATTTCATAATCATCTCCCCCCTAATTAGATGAATTTACGTAAGGTACAAAAAGTAGAAGAACGAGTAGAACCTGCATTTCAGTAGAAAGCCAGACGGTGTTCATATGCGGGAAACGGCTTCTAACTTTTTCGGCAAGATGCATATATTCTTCAAACCCGACCACCTTCATTTCACAAGCCTTATCTCCCATTCGTATGTGCATGCTTAACAAAGGCCGTGGAATCCATGCTTTCTCGTTCGACCATACATATCTTTCTATCATACTCTTCTCATCCAATTCCTACATATATATCCAAACAATCAATCTATATATGGATAATCGAAATATATATACATAATATTTATTTGTATTATTGGAAATGACGAGAAATACCTGAACAATACGATGTTCGGAAAATGATGATGCAAGAACAATTTTTGCAGCTTCCAATCCAAATGAAGTATGGCGTGCAATGTTCATTAAGTTGCATGTGTACTCCGACTGATACCTCATTAGGTATCGAACTGCCTGACATCGATCGGCAATTTTTTTTAATTAATTAATTTGCATTTTAACTTTATTATTTTAGTGTGTATATATATATATATATATATATATGAGAGTCCGGACTCAAAGCCCACCCTCAATTTACAATTTCCCCCCTATATTATACTATATATCTATTTAGCCCACCCAAATTTTATTAATTAGCCCACCCACTCAAAATCCATATTAATGCAAAAAAGTCCCAAATTTTATTAATTAGCCCACCCAAAATCCAAATTAATGCAAACAAATTCTAAATTTATTTTTTTTTCTTCCTTTTGTTTCGTTTCTTCTTTTCCTATTTTCTGATTTTATCACAAAAAAATCCTAAATTTATTTTGGGGGCGCTGCCCCCGAACCCCCAAAAATTTAAGCCCACCATGTACCAAGTTCGAATGTACGAAATTCCTGGACTCGACTCTATATGTGTGTGTGTGTCTATATATATATATATATATATATATATATATATATATATATATATATATATATATATATATATATATATATATATATAAGTGTACCTGAGCTCGCCACCACCTACGGTCCATTTTACGATGACGAGATATCAAGCTCCCGTTTATCTCAGTCGTTGGCTGCATAATACTCCATGGACTGCCCCATCTCCTGAATTAGTTAATTAATTAATTAATTAATATAAATTACTTGATCAAAAGGTTAATTAATTAATTAATTAATGAATTATATAATATCAATTAAATTTAATTTATTTCTACCTTGTTGTACATGATCATATATCTTACCTAGGTACTCGTCCGGTCCATATGGATCGGGAAGTGTAATTGTCCTTCACCGTTATAATACCTTTTTCTCTTGCTACTTTGTCACGCATAAGTTCCAAAGCTCTTCCCCTGCATTCTCCGGAAGTTTCCGGAAAGAAGTAGCAAGACCAACTAGCGTGTGACGACCCTACATGTACGAGAGCAGCTCAATCGTTTTAACACATGATTAATTAACAATCTCACGTCTAATATTTATTCTATTTCGGAATATGTTGCGAAAAGTATCTAGGAAAGTTATTCCCGAATATGTATGCTAATCGTAGAAATACACTAATTAAATTTTATAGCTAGACGATTCTTGATTTAACGTGACGATTTTTTTGAGTAGAAAAATAACCTTTACATGCGTCGTGATCAGCTCTATTGAAGTAGCCGGTGACTAGCACCCGTTTCTCGTTGATTGCAATTGCAAGTAAACCACACATTCCTGCAATTTGAGCACCAATGCCGAATCCAGGCAATCTTTCCCAATCGGCCAATAGAAACTTGACACTTGGATCGCTGCAGTTCGTTGGATGCTGATGAAGCCACAGATCCCGTTGCACTTTCCTCGTTAGAGGGTAGTTTTCCTCATCCGATCCCGTTATCTGAATTCAAAAATAAAAAACGGTAAGAATTATTTTGATAATATAAAATGAATTACTCTACGTAAAATTAAAACTACAAGTATTTTAATTAAACGGAAATAGCTCTAGTGGAATTTCATTCGAACAACTAGAATATTCCATTTTGATTATTACAAAAATAAAATTATTAGTGAAAATACACATTTTTCAATTAATTGCAGTTAATTAGCTTTCGATTAATTGTTATGAAAAGACAAATGTTACATACGCACCCATGGAGGATAAGCTCCTTGAGATATAATTTGATCTCGGTAATACTGAAGCTGCTCGTCGTTTTCCGATAACGGAAGTTCGTCCAAGTTTCCTTTCCAAGTAGTCCATGGAGGAAAACTCCGATTAAATATCCGTGTATCGAGGCGTTGACTTATTTCAACAGTTGACTTGCAATTCTCCAAGTGAGGTGCATTAGGTACATTAATAGACGAGAATTGAGCTCCGTTTTTTGTCGATGATTTATTAAATAATAAATCGCTCCATGCATCATATAGTAACGAAACTCTGTCATCGTTGCTACCGGTTAAATTGCTTCTCTCTGTATACATCATTCTTTCTCTTTCTTTAAGTATGCTTTTGCTATCTCCACCACCATTATCTGCTATAACATTTAAATTATTAATAAAAAAAGGCAAGAAAAATAAATAATGAAAGAAAAATAAAGAAAAAACAGCAGAGAACAAAATAATGCACATTATAATTTACTTTACAATTTTTTAAGGGGTGAATTACGAACCCCTGAACTTAGGATAAATTACGAAAAGTACCCCACCTATCCGTAATTACCAAAATACCCCCGACGTTTGTTCCAATATTACACGAACCCCTTACGATGTGATTTTTCATGAAATCTTTTTATTACTGGGAATATTTCCTGCAAAATATCGATTCTAGATTCTACCCCTGCAGACGTGGTGGCATTTCCTTATTATTTTTAAATAAAATTTTATCTTGAAACACCTTATTATTTGATCCATCACAGAATGTTCATCACGAAAAAAAAAATAAAAAAAATTAAGAGTTCAAAATTTAAATGTTAAGGTCAAAATGTTAAATAAATTCGAGATTTTATTTTAAATTTAGAGTCTTTAGGGAAAAAAAAAAATTTAAATAAGCATTGATCCACAAATATCAGGTTAATTAAAACAACATTAATTCACTCATCATGACTTATTCAAAAAACATAACACAACATCAACAGAGAGAGAGAGACAGAGAGAGAGAGTGAGACAGAGAGAGAGAGAGAGAGAAGAGAGAGAGAGAGAGAGAGAGAGAGAGAGAGAGAGAGAGAGAGAGAGAGAGAGAGAGAGAGAGAGAGAGAAGACTTACTAGCAGCAGCCATTGATGGGGGAGAAAAAGGAGAGAAGGAAAAAGAGAGAAAGAGAGAAGTTAAGCAAACACCACAGAGAAAACCCATCACACATATCTGGCATGGAAATGAACTGCTCAATGCAAACGCCCTCTGTGAAACCACTCTCTCCAGTGATTTCTGATTCAACCCCTCCATTTTCTTTCAATTATAAAAACAACACAAAACAAAATATATCACTAATCAAATATATATAAATCTTGCATTCAATATTTTTTTTTTCAAGAAAATGGAAAAAAAAAATAATATGTCACGTGCTCCCCAACAAATTCTCAACTGCAAATGAAAAAATCCCATCAACTTTTTTTTTTCTTTTTCTTTTTTTAATTAAACAAAATTAGAAACAAATTAAATGAATTTGGAAAAGAGGAGTGAGAGAGACTACAAAAGGAGAAAAACACATGCAAATAATAGGATGATTAGTTTGGTGAATACTTGACCAATATTCGGTGGAGTGATTTTGTGAGATGCATACAATACAATTAGTTACAGCATCATATTCATGGGATTTTGTAATAATTATTAATCACTTATTTTGACTCAGTTTAAAATAATTAAAACAAATCCAGGAAATCTGCATATATTTAAAAATGGAAAAAAACAAAAAAAGAAAACAGAAAGTGGGGGGTGAAATATAGAGAAAATGTGACAGATGTGCAACCCCACAAAATTAAAATTGCCATGCAAAGAGACACATGTGAATTTGATAGTGATACTTCTTCTTTTTTCTTTTAGCAATCAAGATTATATAAATAAAATATACAAAATAGAAAAAAAATAAAAAAAAAACTAAATCAGGAGAAAAGAATAAAACTTTATTCAATATAGAGTCGAGATAAGGTAGTATGCTGGTAAGCACCTTGCAATTACAACTGTTTGATTATGAGTTCGAGACGCCAGGAGCGAAATTGGGGAACCAGTAAATATCGAAAAAAAACTGAAGGAAAAAAAAAGTGATGTGGTTGAGAAGAAAAGATGTTACCAAAAAAGAAGATATAAAATGGCATTTTGTGCAATAAAAGAAAAAGGAAAAAAAACAGAGAGTTAAGCAGAATAAGAGAGAGAGTAAAGTTTGGAACAAAAAAAGAGAGATTGACATATTCAATAAAACCTCTCAACAATTCAGTTTTCAAAATGGGAGTGGGATTTTTGTTTTTTTGGTATTTGTTCCTATTTCTTAGCCCCCCTACTTTGTGTGTATATATATATTATTGACTTAATCCAACAATTTACATTTATGTATATGTTATATGTGTATTTATACTTTCAAATATCTTACCATAAATATATATTTTTTTTGTAACATGTCAGTTAATTTTGATATAATATTTTGAATTATACTCTAACTTTCACGATTTGAATTAATTTCTCGATTCGTTTCGAATTTCCAACTTTTCGATTTGAATCATAAAAGAAATCCGATTGGACATATGATATAACTTCTATTTTTTTTACTATTTAATGCCATATTTGTACCCCTTTTATGATTCAAAATTTATATCTATATTTATCTTTTCGAGTCAACTTATTTAAATTACTTAAGTGAGTTGAGTCAACTAATTTATTTAAATCAGCTGGCTTAACTAATTTACAACATTTTTCATTACAAATACAGAAAGTACCGTTTTGAATGTTTCGATTTTATTTGGATTGGAATTGGAATACATAACTGATTCCGATTTTATTTTCAATTTTTTTTTCGAAAATTCCCGATAATTACACCTGTAGTAGTAGTAGTAGTAGTAGTAGTAGTAGTAGTAGTAGTAGTAGTAGTAGTAGTAGTAGTAGTAGTAGTAGTAGTAGTAGTAGTATTATTATTATTATTATTATTATTATTATTATTATTATTATTATTATTATTATTATTATTATTATTATTATTATTATTATTATTATTATTATTATTATTATTATTATTATTATTATTATTATTATTATTATTATTATTATTATTATTATTATTATTATTATTATTATTATTATTATTATTATTATTATTATTATTATTATTATTATTATTATTATTATTATTATTATTATTATTATTATTATTATTATTATTATTATTATTATTATTATTATTATTATTATTATTATTATTATTATTATTATTATTATTATTATTATTATTATTATTATTATTATTATTATTATTATTATTATTATTATTATTATTATTATTATTATTATTATTATTATTATTATTATTATTATTATTATTATTATTATTATTATTATTATTATTATTATTAT